AGAGAGAGAGAGAGAGAGAGAGAGAGAGAGAGAGAGAGAGAGAGAGAGAGAGGGAGAGAGAGAAAGAAAGGAAGAAAGCGTTTAAAAAGCAGATCTTTTCGACAAGTTAAGGCATTTCGAGTCGCACATCCTGGTGGCGCGATAATACGAATCGCGCGATCGCCGAATCGCTCTCCGCTTTCACACGCGTATTTCCCTTCACCCAGTTCCTGCGTCGGCCGTGCTTCCGCTTCCCTAGCCCATTATTCGCGTTTATTCGCGCCCGAGTGTCGGTCAGCCGGCGCCAATGAATCCCCGATGACACTCAAACGTAACCGGGACGCAGACGCGATCGAGTACACGCTCGTCGTCGAATCACAGTTTGCCGGCACCTGCGCGCTTCCTGAAGAAAATATACACCAGTCGAGTGGATTCGCCCGTGCTCGTGCTCGAGTTTCGTGCACATAGGGACGCAGTCGGCTATTCGACTGCGATCAGCTCGATTCGCGCCTCTGCACCTCGAGAGCGATCCCTTTCACCTTATTCTCGTCTTCTTCCGTTCGCGGGGCGCGCTCGCTCGCCATCTCTCTCGCTTCGTTCCCTTGCGAAGGCTCACGACGGCTCCCACCTCTGTGGGTGCCGTTGCTGCACCGCGGTGCATGTTCTCCTCGATCATTGTGGGCTGCTGCTCTTGTTTTCACGTCGAGCGGCGCAACTGCGTCGTGCCGCGATTATGTAAGTCGCCGGCCGAGGGAAATTGAAGGGGCCCCCCTCGCGAAATGTCGCAAGCGTCACATTCCAATCCTTACGGAAATTGAGGGTCCAACGGTGCAACGGTCGCAGTCTGATTTCAGGCATTAAGCCGCGAGAAAATCGCCCGGGAAGTACGCACAAATGCCAATTCTCAACTTTCCCTTTTATTCGACTGCCAGAAATCGATCTCGCGACTCGGAATGCAACGCATCCTCGCGTGGCGAGGCAATTCACGTACGTGCGAGCATAAGAAATCACGCGGTGAGATACACATCATCGAACACATCATCGACGTATTTCAATCCACTTCATCCTTTCGCTTCGAATCCTTCGTAGAATCCCTCGTCCACCAACGGACGTTCTTCCATGTCGACGGTGAATTCATCTCTCATAGCTTACTGCACGATTCTTTACATCCTTGATATTCGGTCCGCGTCGTATCTCCATCGCGTTATCCGTTATATAATAGTAAAAGACAGGAAACAGCATCTTCATAATTTTTCTCTGAAAGCCACTTGAGTAGCTCGACGGGCTGCCAATCAACACTCCTCTTGCTTCGCTCCACGATATTCCCTAACGATCGACCACGTGCTCTCTATCGTCCCGAAAATCTGCAGAGCAACACAATCATGCATTGCATCATTATTTATTATTTTATATTTTGATGTCAAGAAAAGTACTTCGTCAGATAAAAGATAACTAGGCGTGCGATCGTGTATATCGTACGAATAATCTAAAAACGCGACCAATCGTGTTGACAAGGAAGGAATGATGAAAACCGAAGTCAACGTTCTTCTGAGAAATTTACTCTTTAAATTTGAATAGTCGAGTGATTTTTTTTTAATTTACAGTTTTTACTCGAAATTGAAGTCTGAATCTGATGTGCTTCACAGGAACAGATTCTCTCTAATCGACTGAAACATTCGCTTTTATATCAGAATCAGAATTAATTCTAAACGATTCACGTAAAACATTCACTCGATTGCGAGTGGCAGTATTTTAATCAACGTTTCTCGACTGAAAATATTGTTACTGTTCACTCGATCTATGTAAGATTCCATTCCAAGAAGTTTAGAGAGTAATTGGAAGCTTCAGTCTGACAGTAGCTAGACCTATTTTTTTAAAGCGCGGAAATCTTAAGTAAATTTTGAATAGTTCGAGTAAATATGATAAGTAAGTCTCCTGGAGTTATTGAGACATCGCGCAGCCTCCAATTAATTCCGCCATCTCTTGTTTCCATTGTTTCCACCTCTCATCTTACCAAGATCAGCAGCCATACGACAAAAATAACGATGTTCTTCGCGAGCAATGTCCTCGTGGCTTCCGCCCACTTAGTCGCCGTCTCGATTAGTATGGGGATCAGCAGCATGATCGTGGACATACCCAAGGCGGCGAACAGGCCCAGCAAGGGTACCATTTGGGGCACGGCGATGGCCAAGAGCGCTACGAACCGAGAAGGACAAGGACGAGATGGCGCGGGAGATTTCCTGGGCGATTATATTCAACATTCGTGTCTAACGGCGACATATTTACTGCACGCGACCACGCCGCCCAGTCGCAGTGTGATTTCGTAAATCCGATGATGTCGCAAACTTTTCGCGGCGATTCTCGAGCGGATCATCGGCCACAGCACGCTGATCGGTACGTAGTACGCTAAGCCGAAAGTAAACAGCACCGACAGGGAAATGGCTATCTTGACTGTTTGGGCCAGGCTGCAAATTATAATATAAAACCAGATATGATAATGAAACCGGTTTCGAACGAGATATACTACTTGATACGGATATCTGATATATCTGAGATTATCGCGGACTAATATTCTAGATCGAGATATGCATAATGATAATGCATCAGCAAACAATTGCACACGTGATAACTGTATAAATCAGCATAAACAGAATTTCTCTTAATGCTGCGACTTGGAAGGAAGTTGTAAGGCAAAGTGAGTTTGTTAAGAATTCATTGAAACTCGCGCTACATACAAATTGACGTATTATCTAACTGCTCGTGCAACTAGGAGATTCACTATTCGAGAGTTGAAATATTTTAAAGTACATTTTTTACACGTATTTTTTGAGAGTTGGCATACTATTTATAATTAATATTTTTAATTTTCTATAAATTAATAATAAAAAATCATCATGATATTAAAGGCTAATATACTGTAATATACATTGTACGCAACTTTCCGTTATTGATCGTTTTGTTTAGAAAATATAGTGGTAGAAAGTTTATAGTTTATATGTACTCAAAGTATATGTACATATATACATACACACACGCACATATATATAAATATATGCACACACACACGCACACATATTTAACAGTTACTTTTTTCCATTATATTTGTGCAGCTTTGTTGTAGATCAATTAATACAAAAATAAAGCATTAATAAGAAAAATAGGAAAATAAAATTTTTTTATTTGTAATATTGTGTGCATATATATTCATCTTAACTTTACCTCAAAGCAATGTTTATTACTTAAATGATGAAATAAATGTATAAAAATGTAATTCTCTATTCAATAGTAAGCTCAGTGATCTCTTTAATGCGACACTGAAAATACACACACTCTAGCCTTACAATCTCCTTAATCGTAAACGTTTTTGACTGTGATAAAAAGTCACGCTGAAGACACGGTGGAAACGAATGACTCTCTATTAACACAGAATTTCCGAGATTTTTTGATTAGAGTTGTATTCGTAAATATATAATTAAGATTGTGAAAATCTCTTTTGACTTTATATCAGCACTGAGGAATGTAAAACACACAATATCGATGATTCGATAAATTCGGAGACAATGAATTAGATAGGAGCATGTATGGCATTTGAAGTAAGCGAGAGTCCGATAACAAGATCGTCAGATACTTACCCTATTATATGTTTATATAACAATATAGGGCATTCGCGTTTACCTTTAGATAAACGAATAGTTTAATAACAAATCCGAGATTGTCGTATACTGACTGCAAGGTTCCAAGTCCAACGGTTTGTGCGGGGAAAATTACGAAACACGACGAGACGTCGTGAAATCTCATCTTCGCGCAGTCGGGAGGACGCAACGAGTACCGATAATGCTATTCTCGTTAAACTAGTTTTAAGTCGGAATTTAGGCATGAGTCCTTCACGCTCGCGTAGTCATGATTCCCGCGATTATATATGCGTAACTGTCTACGCGCGCGGTCCTCCAGCACGGTCCGCTGATTCGCTCCGCTCTCGTTAAATGTAATGCTTAATTTATTCGAAGGACCCACGTCATGAGCATGCACGCGTCGTTTACCTTTTTGCGCGACTACGACAGAATACACAAAACAAACTGAGTGAGGCGTGCTGAACACAGAGATTCGCGTGATCGCTTGAGCGTTAAGTACATCTTGTTCTCCGTGCTCGCCGATTCGCGCAATTAGGCTGTTGTAATCGGCGTCATAATAATATCGTAAAACACAGACAGGGCGGTTCCGCCGTGTTTGTCGATTGTCGAACAGTGATGTACGATTAGATTGTATATCTTTGCGATAACGATTTCGTTTTGCTATTTTTACGACCATTTTCATTGAAAACTCCGCGCGGCGGCGAATGTTTTGCGAAGAAACATTCCACTGAATGTTTGCGAACGGCCTGTCAAATTACTGCTTGTCCAGCCATAAATTACAATACCGACCGGTCGGATCGATGCTCAATGTTAAACCAGCAGTGAGTTCCCCGCAGCGAGTTCCCCGAAATGGACGAGTCGCGAGACAGGATCGTTAAGTCGCTCTCGAATGCACTTACGTCTCCTGCATTGGTAAGTTCTTGATGACCGTGTCACAGGCGTTTGGGTATTTGTTGTAGCCGAGAAAGCCGAAAAGTAGGTACACGATCGTGTTCAGCGACGTGCTGGTGACGATCAAGCGCGTAATATGCTCGGGATGCTTCATCGTATTTTCCAGCGGTAAGTACAGAGTCATATTGTGCAGGGCGAACAGGAAGATGGCGCAATACATGGGGACGGGCAACACTTCCGTCAAGGCGTTTAGTCTATCGGGATCGGGGAACTCACTGAGGAAATAGTAGAACGCGATGCAAACGCCCAGACACAGGAAGAGAGTGCCGATGATGGAGAACGGCGCGAGGTACTTCAGGTTCGGTACGAAGGCCAGGGCGCAAGTCAGAGGGGAGAAAATCACGATGTACACGCGAGGATCCATTTCGAGTGACGAGAAAAACTCGATCACCTGGAAAAAGTGTTGGGAGTTAGCAGACGAGCCCAACAGAAGTGTTGGGAGACGAACAGACGCGGCGAAGTTGCGCAAGACAGGTGTCTAAATATTTTCGTTTATGTACACGAAGAAAATGTTGTAGTAAAAATTATAATCAAATTTTTGTGATCTTGGACCATACAGAATTACTATATTTTTGTTTAAAAATGTTTAATTTTTTACTATAATATTACTATCTAATTGAATGTTGTTTATATCGTGTATCAAGTAGATTGTTAAATTTATTATTTCTACAGTAATTTATATGACAATTTCAGTATAGTCTAGAGAGAGCTTTACAAAATACATTATAAAGAAAAATATAATTTTAAGATAAGGAGTAATATAATTTTTACTACGATATTTTTTCTATATTTATTGTGAGAAAAATGACAGAAAAGGAATCGCAGAATGTTCCTCTCAGAACACTTGTGTACTTTTCTTATACTCCAAAAGAAATATTTCGTTTATGTAGAGCAGACCGGTCTAGTTAGGCCAAGGATCATGTTGACCGCGTGCTTTGTTTATGTATACATAATAGTCTCACGTTTACTAGGCTTAGTTCTCTCTTCAAATGCGCGATTATGCGCAATGTGTGTACATATTCGTGCATCATGACTGTTGATTATTCCGACGGAGCCGAAATAATAAAGTTATATACGAACATATAAATATACTGCGCATATATAATTGAGAAATTCGTTTGGAAGTGGGCCTAGTAAATGTTAAAGCTGTTATACAGATCGGGGTATTTATCGTGAAAGGAGCAGTGGAAATGAAATTGTAAAATGTAATCCTTTTTAGGATGTAGGTTTCTTTCTCTAAATTTTCATCAAAATCGGAATGATATTACAGTTAAAAAATAGAAAAAGAAACTGATTTAGGAGCTGCTAGTACATTTTCAAATTAATAAAGCTCGAAAACGCTAATAAAGCTTATAAAGGGGCACATTTTGTGCTAGTATTCTTCAGTATGCGTGAATAAACTTAACTTAATAAACTTAATTACTGCTTCAGGTAATAAAAGCAATTTTTTCATTTATTATGATGGTTGAAATCGAGCATACGGACGGACGGGGTAAAGTTGGTCCATATTTAGCCCTTATAGCTCGGTCGGTATAGCTGGGCGATTTTTATATCGAATTGATAAGAAATATGAAATCCCCGCCGCGCCATTATAGTGCCCGGGTCGTACAGTAATTTTTCCTTCAAATTGACTTTTACAATCATATAAAAACCTTATTTAAAAGTTATAAAAGAATATCAATTTATTTATTTTTACCAAAAGAAAATTACGTAGAAGTATATAATATAATAAATAAAAAAATCACAAAATATAAAACGAAGTATCAAATATTATTTACATAAATTTCAAAGTTTAATATTAGTAAAACTTTAAAAAATTGTGTGACGTAAGTATATTTGTGTATTTAGCTATTTATTTTTATCTTCTTGAACTTTTTATTTAAACTTTTTTTAAAGTTTTTATATCTTCCCTTAGGAAAAATTACTTTAAGATATTCAAATTAACTTTAAGCAACTTTAAGTTAATTTGAACAACTTAAAGTAATTTTTCCTAAGAGTTTTTAAGTTCTTTTTGTTAATTTGTATGGAAAAAACGAATAATAGCAAAGATAATAATAATAATTATGAGAATAGTAATATTTTACGTAAAATATGCTATCATGCCGCTATAATGATTTCCCGGGTTGTGAAGATTAAGGGTTAGAGGTATGAGGACCTCTTGCGGAGACCACGGAACTACTAATCATGATACATATTTTATATATGACCTTAATCTAAATTGCTAGCCAACTTGGCCTGATATCTGGTTAAAATGTCCACGTAACAATATGCTTGTATTTAGGTTATTGCAATAGAAGATATGCGATCTATAGAATCGTTGCGGATATAAAAATATAGAGGTAGATATAAAAAGATAGACTACCATTTTTGTACAGTTGGTTGCATTAATTGGTTGTTTGAAAAATTGTAACTTCGAAATTCTTAAAGGTGGTCCAACTTGATCCGGTCTCTCTACTTACGTATCGCATTTGTATTTATGTACTATTATATATATTTTACATCGACAAAATTTTATAGTACAAATTACTATAGAATTTTATTTTGTAAGGTAACACCTTGTATATTGTACTTATACGAGGTATAGCTATAACATGTTAATTGAATAGTTAAAGATCAGATCGTTAATCAAGTCTAGTATAAGGAAGTTTTAACAATCCTTAGTGAACAGAGTGAGAAAAAGGAGACCTGGGGCCAGATTCGAAAATATCTCGCATACGATATTTAGTGAAAAGTTATAGTATACGTAACATGAACTGTAGTTTTTCACTAAATGTCGTATGCGAGATATTTTCGAGAATCTGGCCTCTGAAATGTGGAAGAACAGTTCATGGATTCTTCACCAAGACAACGCGCTGTCTGTTAAGATATTTTTGGCGAAGCACAAGATTCTCGTACTGGAACATTCACTGTACTCACCTGACCTGGCCTCATGTGACACTTTTTTATTTTCAATGATGTAGTTTGTATTAAAAGGAATCCGTTTTGAATCCGTAGATGCAGTAAAAACAAAAACGACGGAGCTCATAAACAAGTTATCAAAAGAGAACCTGCAATATTGCTTCTAACAGTGGAAGATTCGCATGAAGTAGTGGGTAGACATCGGAGAAGAGAGTTGAAGATTGAAGATAATAGCATTTCCATTGTGTAATTAATTGAGTAAAAATTTTTAGAAGAATCCGGTTATTTTATAGCCACACCTCGTATACTACTGCACACTCTTCTATTATATATTTTTTTCCGATGTTCTAAAAAGATCATTTTCTGACTTTGTCTTTGGTTTTTCCTATCTACTACTTGAATATCTGTGCAATTATCGGAAAACTCCGTCGTTCGGAGAAATATGGTTATGCGCAAATTTTCGCGCGAAGTATTAATCATCCGCAATAATCTTATCTCTCTTGATAATATTAATTACAATGTTAAATCGTAAAAACTAACAAGTATTATGCGTATAGTTTAATTTACTTTAACTATGTTATTTTAGTTATCTGCAGTATTTTAACCTTTGTCTTTCAAGTTCTGTAATCAGTTTTAATTCAATTCTTTTCCTGATTATATCAGTGGATAATTTCCAAGTGATCTGTAGAGACGGTGGAATTTTATCGACGCAACAAAAATTTTATCGGAGATTGTAGTCAATTGCATGACTGTCGATGTCTCGTTTAATGATTTGTCGTCTATGGAGATTAGCGAATGAATGCCTGTGCGTGTTTAATTGTATTCCGGTTTCCGGTACACAAGAGTCACGATGTGTCTCGTTACCTGCTGGAACGACGTGGCTACATATAATATGTATATCACGGCGGCCTGAAAGTGCACGAAGCAAATGATCACGTTGGTAAGCACGCTGAATGGTCTGGCGTACTTTCGAATCCTCTCCGGACCCGCCTGGAAGGAGAACTCCGCTGTTTTGGCGAAATCCAACATGGGCACGCGGTTGCGCCTACATAACATCTGGGAGCACTGCACCTGCACAACCGAGAAAACCTGCACTCGAATACGCTCCGCGCGGACCTTCCTTTCCCTCTATGTTTATGCATTATCTCATCAACGACGCGCAAACAATGAAATCAGCGCGCGAGACAGCAAACGCGGACGGACACGAGTGAGGAGAAAAGAAAACTGCCCTCACTCTTCTTCTTGTTGTGTTATTGTTTTGGAAAACGGACGACGAATTTCGAAAAGGCGGATTACGAGAGTATAATTTCGCTTCATACGTCGTCCCTCTTATCTCTGCCCGCTCATTATCGTTATCCCGCCGATTTCTGCGTTATCACGTACAACGATAACGGCCGTGTGAGTGCATGTCGCACTGACTATGACGCCGCAGACGATGGACATTGCGTAGCCGGTTCTTCTGAACGCGTGCGGCAGGAAGAGTATGCCGGTGCCGATCGCGCACTTCAGTAGATGCATGAATGCGGCGAAATCTCTGAAACGATTTCCACCACCAACATAATCAGTACGGTCCTCCTGTTTGTCTATCGGTATCTCCGATGTCGATAGTGCAAAAACTAAGACCGTATCTAATCAAATTAATTTCGCCAGATGTATTCCGATAAGCATTTTTGACATATTTCATTCGGAACTATTATGATGTTTTGATGAGAATGCGACATACGTGGATGTATGACATCAACGTCTCTTACATTGAATTCACTGATATTTCTTGTTTTTCTAGATTATCGTACGAAGTACATCTGTACACAGAAAAATACATACTACGTTCAACTAAGGTAAATTACCAATGCCTGAACACTGACAATATTGGTACGTAACTCTGGACATTCTTATTATTTCGATTTTTAAATACAAATATTTAAACTATTTAAATACATATATTTAAACTTTTAACGTAGAATATACATGTGGTGTATGTATATATACATTCAGCATATGTACATATATTTTATATCTCGTAAGTTTAAATATTCATATTTAAGGACCAAACAATAAAAATATCCAGAGTTAGATTTCAATGTTATTAGTGTCTAAACATTGGTACTTTTCCTTAAATGTTACTTGTCTCAAGCATCTTATAAGTTTAAATACTCGCAAATCTGTCACAAGTTTATCATAAAGGATCAAATTTATTCAAAATATATCCTAAATTCTAGTAAGTTCAGAATTTTAACCAAGAATATTAAGTTAAATTAAAGCAAAAATCCGGTCTACTCACTTACATAAAGTCAAACTAACTTTTTTTTTTGATAAAGCTTTATAATATTCTTGTAAAGAGAATAAATTTGTCTTTTGAGTAAATGATTTTTACAATTTGTGATGAGTATATTTGAAAACTTCATCAAAAAAAGGTTTTTCGTTGAAGGTAACCATTACTTCAAAGAAGGAATGTTTTTCTTGGCACTAGAATGATATCTTTCTGTATGTGTGAAAATCTCGCGATGAGAAATAAAAATTGTTTTTTACGATGACATTTTGCTTTCTCTTTGTCGAGGAAGCATTCAGTCGGCGTCAGTCGAAGGGAAAATATGATACGTACGAGGTAAGTGGTGCAGTCGGACGATCGGCGAAGGGATCGTACTCCTCCTGCCGCTCAGCTTGAACGTCATTCGGGTTTTCCCTCGCCGCGATCTGGGATCTGCGTTAACGTTCGATTAATGTAGATACGAATCAAGAATGTAGAAACATCTTAACGTAGCGAGGCTTCAAGTCGTCGTCTCACTTGTCGATCATATCGCGTGTAATCGCGCCTGGAACTCTGCGAGAGCTCCGCCACCTTTATATCTGTTCAATTTATGCAAAGCATCCGGATCTGCCGCTCACGCGGATTCCTGACAACGCTTGCTGGTCAATGACAAATTATCTATTAACCTATTTGCGCGACGTTTAAACGATATTAACGATTTTCCTCCAAACCATTTAACACAGGCAGTGCTCAATGTAGCGGAAGATTCCAGTTCACACACTTAATGCTTCAACAAAACGCGATACTAAAAGCACTTACTCTGTAACCTCGAATGAGCGTACTGTTCATACGAAGGTTACGAAGTATCCCGTTATATCGTTTGAAACCGCTCATATTCTATCGAAACTATAGATAAATAAAAGAAAGAAGAAAAAGCTAAAGCTGGTATCACTGTTTTCGGTATATTCTGTTTTATGGCGATGCTGGAGTTGAAATCTTTATCGACGAAATAGGGATTTTTTCTTACGAAGTTTACGTTGTATTGGCTGCACAAAATTATAAATGCTCTTATACAATAAAAATATGTACGATATATGATAAAAACGAAAAAATGAAAAAATTTTAAAGTTGACATTTCCAGTGTAAATTAGCTTGTCAGTTAAAATAAATATTCGCCTAAAAAATAGCCATAAAAAATAGCTTGTATATACTGTACACGAGTTTGTTCCGCTTCGAACAAGAATATTGTTGTACCTTTACATCTGAATTTGGAAATTTAAACATATCAGAGAAGTTTGCAGAACGATTTCTACGTGTATATATGCGTTGTGTTTGGTTTTCCGCTAAACATAAAGTCTGCTCTTTTCTGTTCAAGCTGAACTGAACTGTTTGAACTGGTACAATAAGTTAGAGTGAAACAAAATAACATTTGTCTCACTCTAACTTATTGCACTAATGTGCATTAGTTTGCACCAGTTTGTACCAGTTTAGACAATTCAGCTAGAAAGAACAGACTTATAGTAAGACAAAACAACATTTACGTAAAACAACATTTACGTAAGATCTACAAGAAATACGAAAAGGATAGCTTGATTGTTTAGTGACATCTCTACATTATCGACTTTTTTGGAATTCGTTATCGCCTGTAGCGTTCCCTTAAAGGGATTACCTTAAAGGATTTTCACATCTGAAAATTTAACCTACAAAATGTTGACTTTCTTCTGCAAAGCTTATGTTGTATTGGTTGCACGGTTACAAGTGCTTTTACACACTGAAAACACGTGCAATAATAAATTGCAACATTGCAATATGTGACAAAAGTGACAAAAATTTTTTAAATTAATATCCTAAACTGTCAGTTGGAATAAATATTTACTTGATACAAAAGTTCCACAGAGCTTGTGTGTACCACATATGTGTTTATTTCGCTAACGAAAATGTCAAGGAACATTTTTGTATTTTTTTTGTTATTCTGTGTAACTGATACTGCGTGAACTTTGTAGAGAAAAATATCAGTTGTCAGTAAAATTTTTCAGTACGGCATCTCCTTAGGCAACAAAGTCGTGGAAGTTGTGGGATCTTTTATACAAATGCGATTATATTTAATAGTCGCGTGTTGTTCCGGAATAATGCGAGACTTCCTCTGTCTTAGTAATTCCACTTCGTTTAACGATATAATTGTCATATTGTGCGCTACTGTTATTGCGGAATATAAATCTTGTAGGATAAGACGCTTTTAAATCGCTGGGAGGTGCAATTTCTTACGTATTATTATATAAAGTTGTCTTGATCTCTACTGTGTTTATCCCGAAATGTTTTTTCGCGTGCGATGCGTAAACATATCAAATGCATGCTTATAGCTAATTGCCTCGAGCTAATCATTAAGTGTTTAATTATCACGGTACACGAATGAGTCAAGAAACGCAGTGCGCTCGGTTATTGTCGTTCGAAAATAACAAAGACGCAGCGGTTTGTTTTTCTTGCAATTGACTGTAGAAGTGCATACTCTGTGGTTAGGCATTTTCAACTGCGCAAACAACAGGAAATACATCACTCATACACTTGTGGTTGCATGACTGAAAATACAGAACAAACGACTCGAGTTTCCGCGGGCGGCTCAATAAAATATCTGGGAGAATGACACGTCGACAAGCAAACTTTTTCATTGTCGCGCCGGTAGTTTTTCTTAGTCGGAAATGGTATTCACACTGCAACCGACATGTCCTTCATCGATTGGTAAAAAACGAGTTCGTAAAAATCAGGTTCGAGCCGCCTTGGCTTGAATTCTCTTCAACGTTACAATAGAGTCCTTGAACACATTCATAAATTTCTTGTCAAAGTGATTGTACTCATATTAACATAAAATTATCGATTCGACGTGTATCCATATTTCATCGAATATGTCCAACTGCCTCAATTCTCATATATAACAATACTATAGCAGACATATCAATCATATCGCAATGGATAACATTGCAGTGCAACTTTTTCGTTCAATAAAAGTACTTCCTCTGGCCATAAAATCATTTTTACAATAATCATATTTCTGTGTTAAAATCTTACAAATTATTTAAAAGATTATTGTATCACATTCCAATTTTGCATCGAACATTACATGTTATGACACCAAAACGTCACTATGTACAATCATTATATAAATCAACGATTGAAAATAATCAGAAAGCGCCCCAAATATTTTCCTTTTTTATTTGTACGATCATCTATATATTGTTAATAATATACTGATAAATCAAATATTGTGCGTTAAATATTTTATAAACTAAATATTATCAAGTAAAATTATTTTACGCATTTCTATAAATGGTGAATTGGTTGTTACAGACTTTGAATCATATCAATAGTCGTTACTTGAAACTTATCCTACTTGAGATACTCATATCTGAAATTAGATTCAGATCTGAGTTTTTTATTTGATTTTTATATGTGTATGTAACCGCGATTATAAATTCACATCTAACTCTAAATTAAAATCTGAATATCTCATCTGAGGCAAGTTTCAAGTAACGACTATTAAAACGGCTTTGAATTCAGATCTAAGTTGTTCACGTGAGACAAGTTTCAAGTGACAACTATTAATACGAACTTTTGTCATTGAATTAATTTGTATCTGCAGAATCTTCTTAGTAAAACATACTTTTCTTAGAAATTATATCGGGAGTAATGACTGTGGGCGCAGATAAGGTGAGTATTTTGAAGTAATTGCATTTTATTAATCGGATCACATTGTCGCAGATTCGTTACAGATAATTTATTTACATTAGAGCTATTTAAATAATTCGCGATGTCGTCTATGTACAAATGTGTGTCTCGGTGTATCGATAAAATAATAATTTTGTAATAACGATACATATCTAAACTAGATAAAGTATAATATACAATGATAGCGCTTTAACCATCGTTCGGGAGGCTGCCGAGTATCGCCGCAGCCGGTTTACGCGCTCTCTTTCTCTCTCGATTTTACGCTTGTAATTAAAGATATAAAAATAATAGCCTCCAGTCGGCAGCGCGTATATCGATACGGGCACCAGAGTCCACCGGCTGTACGTAATAAGAATATCTGAGCATTCTCCTGGCGTCACGAACTTCTCTCGAGTTAATTCGATAAACTAAAAGGAAGAAAAATAGGGCAAAAATCACCGAGTGCGCATCGGTTCCCTCCTTTCCTCCTTTCCTTCCTTCGTCTCTTCCCTCCCCTTTATACGTTCGTTTCGCCGCGCGTAAAAACATTTAGGCTCTTAAAATAATAAGTAAAGTCCGTCAGTCCTGTGGTTTTACACCTTAAACTATATGTTAATCACATGTTTCGCGGTTACGCTTTATAGCTAGGATCACAGGCTCCGTCTGTGATTACGATCAGTGTTCACAATCGTCTCATTGTTAGTTATAAATAATTGAATTGGTTGAAGCGAGGAACTGTGTAATACAATAGTGATCTCTTTCTTTCTCTTTCTTCCTCTTCCTCTCTCTCTCTCTCTCTCTCTTTCATTTTCACAAAGTCATGCCGCGAGTCGCACGATACCGAAAAATGAATCACCGGCGACTCAGGCGAGCCTCAACCTCTCCGTATGGAAAAGATGAACGTCACGTTCGCTCTCATCACGGCCGATTGACTCGCAGATTTTTTGCGTCAAATGGACGAGCTCGCGATTAACGTCAAATGTGATATGTGTCGTTATTATATAGAAAGTGCATCAGAGTGCACTTCACGATTTATATCTTCGCGAATTTGATGAATTTTGACGCGTTCTCCTTCGCAATTTTCCGAATTTTTCTTTTCAAATTTTTCCTTTTCAAGAGTCGCGCAATCCGTTCCGTCCAGCGTTGGTGGACGCGCTAAACGCTTCTCCTCGTGTTAACTGAACTCATCGGACATCCGATCCACACTATTACAACGCATTTCACACACACGCAGCGTAATAAATAAGATAACGATTGATCACAACGCAGATTCAAATCGAAGGTACAAATGCTAGATGGAATACGAAATTGCAGTTTGGACGTCGTATGGAATGTGAGCTATCTAGTATTCTCTGTCTGCTGTTACGAGCTAACGATTCGCTCGAATCTCTTCTGTATACTTGAGTGCTAACGACAAGTTTATTCGGCACGATCGTAGTTTCTTTTTTTTTCTCATTTAAAGTAATAAAAAAAATTATAGATTTTACTGAGAAAGATAGAAGAACGCAGATAGCGATATGAAGTAAAGATACGAAGTTTACAGAGAAAAACACCGTCACCGAACGTGTACCAAGTAATAGAAAGTTTGATTGACAAACTCATTCTTGACGTTGGTTAAATAAACCAGATAAATGATCCTGCTCACATATACGTTACGAGATAAAAATAAATAAGACGAATAAATGCAAGCAATCTTTCTTGTCCTTTTTTATATCCACTCGTTGATATACGATTCCTAAATATACAATTTCTTTTAACTGATAACAATTAATACGTCTTGGTAATTTCACGCACACAAGAAGCCCAGACAGCTGAATAGAATACAAGATTTTCTTAAAAAGAAATGTGCAAAATAATTTCTCATTAGGTCTTTATACAAGTGTATCTTGCTTTTACATTATAAATGAACATTGATATCATGCGATTTCGAAATACATTTGAATACTGCCAGTCAGAACCTATCATAAATCTAACATCTTTTCGCGCAATTGTTATTATCAACTACGTCAGAACTGTATTCGTTATAGGTCGATGTATATTCGCGAAAGTGAATCGATATATCAGTTTGACTTTTGATTAGGCAGTAAGACTGGCTGCCAAAGATTATCTTTTCATTGCCTCTCTCAATATACAGTGTCAAAAAAATGCACAAAATCTTCTTTAACCGCACAAATGATGCCAGGAAATATCGCTAGATCTCGACTTGAAGAACAGTACTGTTCGATTTCTCTCGGCCTCGATCATCAAAAGATGATCTTTCATGGAAAAAAAAGGAGAAACTAAAAGAATCCAAGAGATTAGAAAGGCACACTACACGGTTCACTGAGGATATGTCTAGTAGTAGACAGAATAGTGCTATTCCATCAGCGTGTCGCGTGTACAAAAGAAAAAGTATCCTCGCGGTACAAAAGAAACGAACGAATGAACATTGTACTGACGAACGTAATTTCTACGCATTTAGAATTCAGTCATTTATACGTTCGCACGTACGCGTCGGTGACTCGATGATAATAAGGCCGCGTATACGCAAAACCAGTGGTGTAACGTGGTACATTAGAAAGAAGCGGGAGCGAGAAACTACGTGCTACAGGACTCTCGCCAGCCTACTAGCTTCGCGCGAAGCCGATCACGCCCGGCTTCAGTCCTCGCTCGAGATCGGGTGGCACTCGAGCGAGTCACACTCGGCCAGAGCCTCGCCGCGTCGCGAAGGAAACTCGTCGGTCAGCAGACTCTCCGGCACCGCGACCGCCGAGTCGATGCTGTCGAAATAGCGATGCGGCCATGCGGCACTCGTGCGGAAGCGCCTGGTAGGCGAGCCGATCATGAATTCCACCCGCGTGGAACCGGTGACGGACGACGTCTCTTGATTCAACGAATCTGGATAAAGGGACGAGTCGCTGTGCCGCAGACTGTTGGTCTTGTTCGAGTACCAGGAGCTTGGTGCTTCGATGCAGCTCTGGAAGATAGCAAAAAGCGCGTTAGTCTCCGGCTAACTGACACCGTTCTTGGCGTGTTCTCTATCATAAGCGAGTAAAATCTTCTGCAAAGACTACTGGTCTGCATCATCTTTGAGAGATGTATGATAAAAATTAAATTGAATCAATAGTCGAGATTGGGAACACGCAGCCAGTGCCATGACTCAGTTCAGAAAGAAAATTATATTCGGTATAATAATATGACGAACGACGACGCTGGCTACTTTGATCCTGAGACACCAGGATCGTCCCGTTTCTTACATAGAACGTGATGTATGCGCCAAGATCTCATACGAAGCGTAATTACTACTTGATAACTTGAGCTCAATATTGATATAATAAATATAAACGTACGTATTAAAGATCGCAGTGATCGAGTAAAGAGAGAGCGTCTTACATTTGCCAAACGAAATATCGTAAAATATAGCGTCGCTTCGCGATGTTGCTGGACATGAGATGGACAATGAACCGCAAGGCCAAGCAGGTAAGCGTGTGGTCGATTCATTTTCCCTCAAGATCGCTGGTCGCGAGCGCGACTGTAGAGACCGCGACTGCGACGACTCAAGCTCTCTCGAGCTTGTGTCCGCGCGCGCAAGCAACGCTAGCAAATAAGATCAAACCTCAGCAAACAAAAAGAGCAAACGAACTTAACACACAATGTACGCTGGACAGCGGAGAGGGGGCTCGCTGGCGCGAAGGTGAGAATATATGCTTATGACGCGGTCGGAAATGCGTGCTGAAAATGGAACGTCCTCTAGTCTCTAGTCGTCATCGAGAATGAGAGACGCTCGAGAGAATACGTGGAGGAGAACATACGGGAATGTAAAAAGAGGTGAATGGGTGTATTGTACGTCGTACGGAGCGAGTATGAATGGTTGTAAAACGTCTCTGACGGACAAAAGGCGAATTTGGACTTATCTAAACGTGCCCAGAATAGATACGTAGCTCTGTGCCTAGCGGCCGGCCTGGTACTTCAACACTAAACGTCGCCAATTGAAGGTCGCGTTTTTACCACGGCAAATGCATAGATTCTGAGTAAACATTCCATGAACGGTCGCGCATGCACGAATCAACGGGTCTCCAATACACGCAGATAAACCATCGCAACAGAGACATGAGAAGCAATGAAATCCGTATACAAGCGTGTTAACTCCTTACGATTGAACAGCTCCTCGAAGTAACGCACACCGCACGTCTGTTTCGCTTTACGCCAACTTCCAAGATTTCACCGACTTTACCATTCAGACCATGTTTCTTCTATCTTCGGATTAAACAGTTAAGATAATACTGTATTAGTTTCTATTAGTTGGCATTCTCTTTCTTGAAAGGGGAAAGTAATTCAGTTTATATAGCGGAAATTTAAGTACCGTCTGTAGTACTGAGTGTACCTCACGATGAACAGATGACATTAATGATAGATAACAATTAATGGTCTGTCTATTAGCTCTACGTTTATGTGTGCCAAAAACCTTAGTACGTTAAGACCATTGTTACCCGTTCCAGAGCACTCAATGAACTCTCACGTCATATATTCGCGGACTTGAGCAGCGTCACACTCGATTTGGATGGCTTCTAAATAAATAGAATTAAGCATATGCATGATTGTGATAACTGGTAACAAAAGTCCAGTTGCTCGAGATCCGTAAATCCATTAGATATAACGTTAAACTTAAACTTTTGGTAGACTATTAACTGGCAACTAGTTTCAGAGACCTAATTTCTCTCAAATGTCACCAGTTCGCGAAATGATTCAAACTGGGCGTCGATATTTCTTGTTTACGATAAAAAAAGAAATCATCCACCTGGAAACGCTGTATCTTTCCGGATCGATAGCTACGATCCCACTGAAACTCGCAATGTGGGAGGCTTGACTACGGGTACGTGCGCATGCCAAAATCCAAGTGAGAGCGTTCAAAACATGGTGTGTACACTACCGGTGTGAGAGGGGCGGGGGTGGGGCGGGGGGACGGGGACGAAGAGCGAGGGGAGAAAGACAGGGGCATGAAAAGACAGAGGCTACAGCTCACCACATCCAGGAAAGAAGCATCGAAGCAAATGATAATAAAAGAAGCATAACTTACGAGAAAAAACCGGCGGCACGCGAGAAGGGGCCACTTTCATTATTGGACCGCCGACGGGGACGGGCTCGAACGCACGCTCGCCTGCCCTCCAGATCAGACATTTCGGTATGGTGGACGGTCGGGCAATTGGTGGTTTTAAGACAAGAATCGGTCGCCCGAGAGTCTCTGCGTATCGTTAGAGGTATGTTTCACAGGAACATTGGTTTATCGGGGCAAAGACAGTGGCCAGACTCAGCGAGCGGAAGTTCTGTCTCTGTACGATCGTATATTGGTGTCGAAATCCGCGGTTGAAGAAAGGAGGCGAAGACGAGGAGATGGAAGAAACGACAGGACCGAGAGATAGCGAGGAAGTGGACGCCGAGGGAGACGGTGGCGGCAGAAAGATAGCGTTACGGGGGTCGGTGCGTACATCTGTACTCGTAGATAATCGGACCAGTTATTATTATCCTTGTCGGTATGTCGAACGCTCGTAGATGCGCTTTAGGTATCACGGATAGGTGCTGTCATTGTTACTGCTATTATACATGGTGTAACGATTACGGTGTGACGTAACACGGTAATTACAATGGCAAAGAGTACAAAAGTAGTAGAAGTTAGGACAGTATAGAATAGTCGTCGTTGTCGAATGGAAGCGACGAATGACAGTAACGCCGTTTAGTCTGTCTACTCGAGTTTTTCGACCAAAGCCAAGTCAGTATGTCCAGAGAGAAAGAGAGAGAGAGAGAGAGAGAGAGAGAGAGAGACGGAGTTCAATCCGGGAGTAAGGGACTCGCGGTTCCGACGGAGTAATCAAAAAGGTTCAAGAATGGACTTCGAAGGGACACGCTGTTGGAGGCGGTGACAGTCCTTAAGAGAAAGAGAGAGAAAGAGAGAGACTACAGCCCGTCCTTTGCCTGGAGAAGGCTTGCGGAGAGCTCTCTACTATATCGGGCCATTGGACAACGGTGACTTCAGCCAGCTGCTCCAAAAGAATTGCTTTACAGGTCGTACCTTGCCGTGTTCGCTATCAACGGACGTCGCCGCGCGCGCCAGGCTGTGGGAACGGCGTGCGGGAGCGGGCGGTCGTCGAGGGGGGGCCGTCCCCGTGGGCGAGGACGTCCCAAGGTTGTTAGACTCCAGCGAGTCACGGGCGCGGGATAGCGAGGAGGATTTATTTAAGGAGTCTCGGCTGGAATTGTTACGCGGCAAGGACCGGTTCAGGGACGACTCCCGATTTGTCTCCTTGTTATTGCTGGTGCTATTGTTGCCGCCGCCGCTACCGCCGCCGCCAATGTTGCTGCTCCCGTTGCCGCTACTCCTGGATAAACTTCTGCTGCCAAGCGAGTCCCGACTGGAATCGCGCGGTTTCGACAGCGACTTGCCGCCGCCATGGCTGTCGCGACTAGAATCACGCGGCGGTCTCGTTAACGACTTGAGCGACTCCCTACTGTCGTTCCTGCCATGACCAGGCGGTCGAGGCGGCGTCGTGGCTACTGTCCCACTTGCCGTGGCCGTCAACGGTGACGTTGTCTTGCTGCTCGTGCTGCCGGGTAAAGGTATACGGCTAGGACGCCGGCGTGGCGACGGTTTGATCTCGACCGGCTGGTGATGGTCTCGCGCAGACTCCGTACTGCTGCCGGGTTCAAGGCCGCTCTGTTCGCACCTGGGTTGTTCCGATTCTGCCTCAGGTTCGTGCTCCGTTGGCGGTCGTTGCTGGAGACGTTCTAGCACGCGTACTCGCGCCCGGGTGCCCTCTAACTCAATATTTCTCTCTTCCAACTGAAATACAAGAGTGAATGCTTCATTTTGTCTCGGGTTAATGAAAAGAACGTCATAATTCTGGTGATTATGACGTCTATTCCAGAGAATATTCTTTGATAAAAATTATTGGGTATAACATTTTAATATTAACTCACTTGGAATCGTAGATCGTCATTCTCCTCGCGCGCTTTGTCTAGCCGTTCGGAGAGAGTCTCTGTACTTTTCTCAACTTCGTCTAGTCTTTTTTGTAGGACCTGCAAACAATCGGTTACCGACAAATTGACACACTGACAAACTGACGTCGATGGAATTCGAAGAAATGACTATTTTACTCGAAATTTATCCCATAATAAAATATTTCTGCGACAAGGGAATAATGATATTACCTGATTATGGACGGTAGTAGTGATTAGATGCCGTTGGAGCTCGAGAGGTGAGTTCTCGCGAAGAATGGCCGCGATCTTTCTCGAGTCCACGTCTTTCACGTGAGCTACCCTGGTGGGTGAAACTAAAATTGAATCAAGCGCTCCTAGTCTCGCTCTCCTCTCGTTCACGCTAGCCTCGACGTCGATGTCGACACGCGTCTCGTCATTGCGCCCGACCACGTCCAGCAGCACATTCTTCTCGATAGTCCTCGTGCGAAAGCGACTCTTATGAGCTTTACTATTAGGACTGCTCGTGACCGATGCGAAAGCCGAACCTTTACTTTTGATACTGCTAACACTGGCGTTCTTCGGCGACGTGACTACCGGCGCGATAGGCTGAAGTCTCTGAACGCCCGGTGTCAGAATCTCTGAGGCGTTTTCGGTCAGACCAGCCTGCAGTCGATCCTCCAAGCCGGTCTTCAAGGCCGACAATGCGGCCAATTCTGTCTGCAGTTCTTGGGTGCGCGCACGACTCGATATCGTTTCCGCCTCGAGCTCGGCAACCTTGTCCAACAGCTGTTCCTTCTCTCGCCTGAGTGCTATCACCTGCGGATCCCTACTGTCCTGTTGCTGGTCGACATTATCACTTGCGATTGTTCTCCTATCGGCATCGTCGTCGGCACCGGTGACCTTCCTCACTGCCTCGAGTACATCCGTCGATGCCAACTCCTCTGTCGCCACGCTCTCCAGGCGACCTTGAAGGCATTCGACCTCCTCTCGCAGTCGGATCCCTTTGCGGTGAATCACGTCCAATAGGTTCCACAGCTCATCCTCGGCTTCATCCAATGCATTCGGTCGAGGACTGCTAGCTCTCGGCGCGATCGCCGTCGACGCGCTATCCTTCGACGAGGCTTCCGTACTAAAGCCGGAATCCTGCACCGTCGCGCTGCAGTTGTTCTTGGTACCGCCGCTATGAGAGTTACTGCGACTTCTGGGTAACGATGAGGACGAGGATTCGCCGCCGCCACCGCCGCCACTGCCGCTACCGCCGCTGTTGCCGCCGCCGCCGCCACCACCGCTGTTTTCGCGCGGCACACGCCGTCTCAGCTTGCCGGGTTCCCATTCGGCGATCCTGCGTGAGGATGGGCTCGACAACGGCAGCGGGATGTGCGAGCTCTGCGTGCAGGTAGACGACATCACGGACGCACCCGCGGACGCCGTCGCGGCCATCTTGTGCCGGAGGTTTGGGAACGTCTCGATGACGAGGTCCCGGAACTCGAGCAAGGCACCGACCTCATTCTGCAGCTCCTGCAGGGCCACCAGAGACTTGGCTTGCTCACTGATCAGGTAATGAAACGGACCAGGACGCAGGGGCATGCAGTCCATGCCACCGACACCACCGCTACCACCGTTACCGGCACCGACGCTCACCACGACGCCCTCCGTCGAGCCGCCGCCGCCGTCGCCGCTGTTGCTGCCGCACTGCTGTAACAAAGAAAGAGATCCATCTTGGTGACTTGTTCGTACAGTTTCAGGTAGGAATTAATAGCGATTTAGTTTGATCTATTGACTATCATGGACAAAAAAATATCGAGAGTAATCAAAATTAATCAATCGTCATATATAAAATTAATTATTAGTTTGATCTATTGACTATCACGGACAAAAAAATATCGAGAGTAATCAAAATTAATCAATCGTCATATATAAAATTAATTATTAGTTTGATCTATTGACTATCACGGACAAAAAAATATCGAGAGTAATCAAAATTAATCAATCGTCATATATAAAATTAATTATTGATCAAACTTTGATTGATCATATGCTGGTTAATAATTAATTAATTTCATCAATTGATTGAATTATTTGTAATTTTATATATGAGGACCCATTAGTTTTGATTATTGATTTACCGATTATTTTAGTCAACTAATATTTTCATCGATTAATATCCAATATTGCAAGAGTCGGCATCCCTTGCCTGAATCGACGTCAGCCATGATTGGATAGTGGCCATTTACCAGCAAGGATTACTGTGTTACACAAAACATTTTATTGGCTATATATTATCTCAGATATCTTCTAAGATAACATGTACAGCCAATAAAATAGCTTTGTGTAATACAGTTTCTTGTTGGAAAACGTGAGGCCAGAGATGATTAGTTGCCGTGATATTGTCAGCGTCGAACCGTGACTCCACAGAGTCGGCAAATTTTGCTTGAACCGATGTTGCATTGTAGTCGAAAAATGACAATCAGTTTGCTATGATATTGCTAACGTTGAATCGTGAATCGGTATTGAGCAAGAGTCGGCAAATCGTACCTATATTGAATTTATCCGATAAAAAATTAACAAACAAATATTTCCAATCAAAAAACCGATAAATTTTTATATCTGATCAGGAAACATTCAATCAGAAATATCGGTTCATAATTTTTTTTATTTTTCTGATAAAATTATGATTGGAAGTATCCGATTAAATCGGATATTCTAATCAGATGTAAAAATTGATCGGAAATATCTATTTGTTTATTTTTTATCAAATAATTTCTGTTAGTGTAGCTTTATCTAACTTCTATTGCTGAAATAACTAATTTAACTATAATGATATCTATCAAGATGCCAGATTTCCTTTGATATAACAGCAAAAAGATTAGTTGCAAGTTATATTTTCCATTAGCGTGGTAGAGAATCGTCTTGGCTCTACTATTCAACTTGATTAGATACAACTACAAATCTTAGGTCAGAAAATTATCGATAGAGGAAATGTGTAATAAATGGTAATAGAAGACAGAAGTATAGAAGGAATGAAGAAAGAAGAGAAAAAAGAAGATAGAGATAAACTCGGGTATAATGGTTATATGGAAAAAATAGCCATAGGTTGTAATTCCTAAAATAGTGCGTCTTTATAATAATTTTTAAAAATAATCGATATTTACAGTAGTTTATGTGCGTATACTCAGGTGCTAAAACGTACTATTTAGCAATTATTAAAGAAAGTACAGCCTATGGCCATCTTTTTTGTATGACTCATACGAGTTTATTCGAGTTTATCCTACAAGAAACGAAGATGAAAAGTTTGATCATCGGATAGGATAAGGAAGTAAAATAAAGATATACAGAAGAAGGATAACACAAGGATTAGTAGGGCAAGTGCTGTATAAGTAAGAAGAGTAAAGTGTAAAAATTAAGAGGAATGTTACAGGATATTAAAACATTTTCTTGACGATGTAAACTGAAGGAAGTAAAGAAAAAGGCAGAGGAATCATTTTATAGAGTTAGTAGGAAGTAATCCTATGTAGTTAGTAGAGGTAATCCTATGTAGTTACTTGTACAGCACCGTGGGTAGCGATTCAGTTACTATAACATAGCGAACTTGCTCCGTATTACGGCCAATGGGGTTTTCAGTTGTGACAGCAAATCTTTTATCTGCACGATAGTTTTACGAAACAAGGCCCTACGTGCGGGCAGTGAAACCGTCCGCTTTCCTGCGCGAAAATAACACGTCGTTGACCCTAAGTGAGGCGTGCTATTCGCAACGACGAACGCGCCAGCAGTCCGCGAAGTCTCGCGCGTCTTCTCTGCCGTATACCATCAATCTCGACCGCAGTTAGTTGCACCGGCCGTTTCTTTCGGACACACCCGCGCGAGCGGACCGTGACAGCAGAAATTACGCCGATAATCGGCGTAATTTATCCCATTCGAAAGTGCAATTTCTACCTCGTTCTCGCCAGGCCCGAGCGCCTCTCTTTCCATTATTCGCGGGACGTCCCGTCCGATATCTCGCGTTCGTGACAAATAGCCCCACCTAACCGCGAGTTCAGGGATTTCACGTTGCGCTCCGATCCGCTTCTCAAAGACGAGCGAATCGGCAAGTGCATCGCGCAGTTGGATCGCGTTTCACAGACCGATCGGGGATTCCTCGCGTTCAATCGGCAACACACACTCAATCGATTTGTCACCGTGCATCCGCCACGTCCATTGTATTACGAAACCGCGCCAGTGCGCTATGTTACGGCAGCTTTTTCCCACGTCGATGCAATTGACGCGGTCTAGCCGGAGAGAATGAAGCAACGGGAATCGGGTTATTGGGGCCTAATATCCGTTCGTTTCTCTAGTGCGAGGAAGCCGCTCTTCCGAACGGATCGGACGATCCGGCCGTGTCTGAAAGTGTACCACAGGATACGTCTGAGAGCGAGCGAGATAATCATTGATTATGCTAACGAGACAGCCGTCGTGCGCATTATCTTTTTCGCGCGGCCGTCGCGCGCATCATCCTTTTCGCACGGCCATCCTGCGCTTTCACCCGTATCGCGTCTCGGTGTTGGAGATATTTATCGATATTCGAAATTATCGAACATTCCATTTCGTTTTAATTTCGATACTTGAATTTGGAATAGAAAGATCCTCGGAATAGAAGATCAAATAGATATTTTTAAACTACACTGAGAGAGATTATCCGATAAAGAATTAACAAACGGATATTTCTAATCAAAATACCGATGAATTTTTGTATCCGATCAAAAAACATTCGATGAGAAATATCAGTTTATAATTTTTTGATCAATTTATCTGATGAAATGTCGTTATGATAAAAAAAAATTTAATGATCCGATAAAATTTAATAGGGTATAAAAATTAGTCGCAATTTGATCGCGGGAATATCCCTTTTGTTAATTTTTTATCGGATAATTTCTCTTAGTGTATCGATAAAAATTATGGATAAATTAGAAAATGAAAAACAAAATAATAGTGGATTAATAGCCGTTTCTGTAAAACTTCTTTTTTTCATGGTGAGTCTGACAACCTCTTTTAAAAATTACAGAACGGGAGAAAAGCAAAATATATTCTTAATCTGCATTTGATTTCTTAGATATTATTATTTCGTTTTCCATTTAGGGAATTTATAATAAAATATTAAAAAACAAGAAAGTTACAGAATTTTTAATTTAAACGTGCGCGGTAAATGTATTTTACACCTTTAATATATAATTTACATAAGTTATAAGGTTGTGGCATATAGAAATACGTACGCTGTATTCACTTATCAGTGAATCAATTAATCACAATTATGGTCAACATTTTTGAAAAGATAACACCGCGCGCGCTTTCTGTTAATTTTTAATTTATTTTTAAATCTGAATTTTTTGTTTATTTTTATATATCTGTGCAATATATACTCCTCTACAATATTTTAATATTGTAAATTATCGTTATAGTTATAATACAAGTATTTATAGTTATAGTACGAATTATAATATATAGTTACACAATATATATAATATATACAATAAATTGATATTTTTAACAAATCTCAATTTTACAACTTTTTATACAATTATAAAATATTTCTTCCTTAATCTTTATTGTTTATTTAAAAACAAAAGCTTATTAAAAACAAAAGTTTATTTTAAAAACAAAAGTATTGTGTAATCAAGATATTTTATAGCTCTTATTAAAAGTAAGGATTATTCGATATTTTATTTAAGACTACTAGATATTGACTACTCATTCGATGCCAATATAAATGTTACCAAAATTGACGAATACATTTCGACACGATGTTTTTTCTCGGGATCAACATTTTTAATCGAGGTCGCGATAGCCATAAATCTTCATTCAACTGGCGGCCGATCGAATCTATAAATGTTAATTCTCTCGGTTTAATCTGGATTTAAGTCGGCGCGTCTAAACGGAGCAGCGTGATTTCCTTCTTCCTAATTGCCGATATGCACTTTCACCGGTCGTATCTCCGTCCATGGGGGGAAGGAGAGATAGAGACAAAAACACAGACAGAGAGATAAAGATAGAAAAAGAAAGCGACGAAAACAGAGAGACGAAGAGACAAAGAAAAAGAAAGAGAGAATATCACGGTGAGTAGTGCGGTTGTTACGTTAACGACTGGTAATTGCATCAAGTTGAAACGGGCGCTTGAATCAGTTTTTTCACCAGTGCGAATTCGATCTTCAGTCGTTTCGCGAGTCGGTAGTTCGCGGTTTCCCCTCGTAAAGAGGATACACACATATCTTGTGCGTTAGTCGAAAGCGGGGGACGAAAGTGCAACGAGACGAATGTGCAAGGTGCATGGATAATTTGTCGATGATTGGGTGGTCGCGTCGCGTCCGGCGGGAAAACTCAAGTGTCATCGTTATATGTACTGTCGCTTTTCTCTCTGGCAAGTCGATCTCCCCCGAGAGAAAATTGGATCAATAATAATAGCTATGCGCGCCTACCTCCCGTAATTACTGCGTATGTCGTGAAAATAAGACAATCGTGCTGTCTTATTCAGGCGCTTTTTATTTTTATATTTCTAATCGCGTGTGCAGTTTCACGCACAAATCGACTTTCAATGTTTTCTTCACGCCGCCATGTGAAAATCGCTCGTCTGCATTGCGAGATCGCGGATATTATTAAACTTCTGTGATGCATTTTGTGGAGAGCGCACCTTTGGCCAACTTTAGACTCGGGTGTGCGCCACCCCG